CCGCAATCCCTTCTCCTCCATTCTCCTCTCGGGATCTTGGGCATGCACGCACACTTGCCTGGTGTGAATTTAAGCCACCGGGTCCAGGACTCGAACCGCAGTTGACTACATGGGAGTCCAGCGACATAGCCATTACAACTGCTGGTCCCTTTAGTTTTTATTTCCTTTTTATTTATTTATTTTTTTAATTTCCAGAGGGCACATGCACTTATCAGAAGGAGGCAGAGAGACAGAGAGGGACAAGGAAAGCAAGAAAGTATTCCCTGTGGGCAATTGTCACACTGTGGTCCCTTCTCCATTTCTCCATCCTGCTGGGATTGGGGGCACACATGCATGTGTGCCCAGGATATTTTTCAAGCCACCAGCGCCAAGACTCAAATTCATGGTTGGCCATGTAGGATCTGTCTCCCTTAACCACCAGGCTGTGGGGCAGCCCTAGTTTTTACTTCTTACAATCTGTTTTGATCTGGTCATTCAATCACGTATTTAAAAAACAATATAAAAATATGGAGAGACTGCCCCCAATCCCTGAGTCCCTCCATCTGCGGCCCCCAGTAGGTAACACTTGTAGTCTCTGGGCTCTTTCTGTCGCTTCAGCATGCAGATATGAATATATGTTCTTCCACCTTTCTTTCTTTTTCTTTTTTAATACATAGGTGTTACACTGTGTCCTCCCTTTTCACCTAGTGATCTTGGCCTTCCACAGCGGTTCATAGTTTTCTCATTCTTGTTAACAGCTACACAGTATTTCCGTGAACGGCTATAGTAACACCAGCATGCCCATTTCTAGGCCCCTATTGCGTGTATTTGGAAACTGAAGTCTGAGAGAAATGGCCTGTCCAAGGTCACTCAGACTAGATTCCTAGCCTCCTAACTCCCAGCCCAGTGGCCTTTCTGAGAACCCAAAAGCCTTCTTCTGAGCTAGGTGGTCTTTAGGCCAAACTTAGCCTCCCTCCCCACCCTCCCATCTCTCTGCCTGGGTTGCTTCTTCCTCTGGGTTCTGAGACCTCTCCCCGTCCCAGCTCCAGCTCTCTGCCCACATGGCCCTTGAGGCTAAGGTAGCCCTTCCTGAGAGAACAGGGAAGCCTTCCCTTCCACACTGACCAGTCCCTCCCGACACTCGGAC